CTGGGGTCCCTTCATAAGGGTACAATTGCCTTTGATGACACTTCATGAGCGCTCACCCTTCAAGATCTAATCACCTCCCAGGAGCCCTACCTCCAAAGACCATCACTTTGGAAATAAGCTGTCAACTTATGAATTCTAGAAGAGACAGAAGCAGTCCATCACACTCTTTTGAAGAAATGTTAGCCCAAGTCATACACAAGTAGCTTCCAGTTTTACACTAGGCTAGGCCACCGCTACCCAGGTGCTTGATCTCTGAGGTGTATCTGCACCTAAGCCACAATCTGCTCAACTGCAAAAATAAAATAAAATTATCAGCATCTCAAAGAAGCTGAATTCCACAGCAGACATGCAGAAACTGTCAAAGGCCCCCAAAACAACACAAGCGAATGTCACTGCTTTTAGCTATCTACCAGAACCAGATGGTAAGAACCCTATGGTTGGAGACACAACACATTTTGGTTACAGACAGAAAAATCAAACTGGAACTGACCTGAAAGTTCCTCCATGCTAGCTAGCTCTCACAGTGCCACTGGGTTTTACGTAGCCCACTGTGGGGAGAAAAGCCATCAGTGGGACTACCCAACAGTAAACCCTACACATTATATAACAACGTGCAGGCCTGATGCGCTGTTGCTGAAATAGTGGCATGAGGTTACGGGAATAACCAATTATTCTCGGATTGGATCTGAGGCCAGCTCCACAGGAGGGAATTCATGCCTGAGCCCCCCGGTGAGAGAGGTGATGGCCCTCGAGGGGAACCTATTTCGGCTGTCCTGCGAACAGGTATGTTATCAAACTATATTCTAAACATTTGTGTCTATACACACAGGTCAGCGCTACCCTTAACCTTGGCCACAGGAACTCTGCAGTAGCCAGCGGTTAACAGAGAGACCCACAGCCAATCAAAGTCCTGAGAGTAAGTAACTATTGGGTGCTCAGCCCTAAGTGGGATACATCAATACTTGTCCCCTCCAAGACTCAGAAAATATCTCAGAAGAGGAGGCCGAAAGAACATAAGAAGCAGAAGATGGGAAAGTGTGCTGTGAGATGTGTCTCCTGGACACGTCACACTCACGAACTCACTGCAGCTGTGATTGTCTGCACTAGGCCTGCACAGGACCCAACCAACAAGTTCAGTCCACATTCCAACTGGCAGCACTCACTGTACTCAGTGGGTTACCAAAAAGAAAAGCTAGGGGAAGCAAAGGAAGGATGCTGAGATTTTGGGGTTTCTGGGGGAGGAGGAGAGAGGGAGGTGTATATGATCAAGATACATTGTTTACATGTATGAAATTGTTCGAGAACAAATAATAGACACTCCATTAAGTATATATTGGATGGATGGATGGATGATGGATGGATGGATGGATGATGGAGGGATGGATGGATGATGGATGGATGGATGATGGAGAGATGATGGATGGATGATGGGTAGATGGATAGATGGATGGATGGATGGATGGATGGATGGATGATGGAGGGATGGATGGATGAAGGATGGATGAATGATGGATAGATGATGGATGGATGGATGATGGGTGGATGGATGGATGGATGGATGGATGGATAAATGGATAGCAGGAATCAGATGCTATCCTACATGTGTAACAAACATCACAGAAGCTACTTTGAACGAGGCAGAAGGAGATGCTGTAGATACAGAGCATGGAGAGGGTACTAAAGGGGTACTACAAAGGACCTAGGATGGCCCAAGTCCCAAGTGCACATGAATGTCATCTGATCAATAAGATATTAATGTAAACACCGATGGCATGCAGAACTTGCTGTCGTTAAAGAACATGCCTCAAGTTCTTCCGTTTCAATGAGGGTCTCTGTATTAGATCCTTTCCCCAGCACTGTGGCAAAATAGCTGACACAACCATCTAACAGGAAGATGGACCTGTGGTGCTGGGAAAGGCATGGGGGCAGGACCAGTTCCTGCCTGTGGAGGCTCAAACCTCTGGCTTACATCACAGATTAGAAGTAGCCCTCACACCCCCCCAAAGGTGTGCCTCACCGCTGTACCCGGACTTCCTTACTCCAACAAGGTGACAACGGAAATCTGTCCTGACTGAGTTGCTCATTCAGCAGGTGCTGAGTCACTGGACAAGAGCTCTTGAAAAATCTTCAAGGGTTCCACGTGTCTATCCTTCCTCGTGCAGAAGCTCAGTGAACAGAGGTGAGTGGAGGAAAGAGCTACACCCTCCAGTTATCACCTTATTTTTAATTAAAACTTGTAATCTTAAAACGGAAGTTTAAAAAAATGCCTCAGCGTCGGCAGGCATTCCTCCTAGATCCCAGCCAGTGAGTGCAGAGAACGCAGTCACTTCTCCGTGGCTTAAAAGGCCAGGAAAGGCAAGAATGGGCGCACAACGTATACACAGTCATCATTACTTAGACTTAAAGCCCATCGTTACATGTATTATGATGGTAGTAATACTAAATGCCTTTTAAAAACCATTTAATACCTTCTACAGTTTTTATGGTACATCAAATTACAAGCTTACTCCCGTGAAGGAAAATTGTCTACATTCTAACACAGCTAACACATAAAATGAATAATTGATAAGCGAGGGCAAAGAGCTCTGAAAACCTAGAGGTATCATATGGATGATAAAAAATAATGTAGACAGACATCCAGTGCTCACAAACTCAGCAGCTCTTCAATAAAAAACAATCAGTGAGGTTGGACAAATGCCTGTGTGAGTTTAATTCCTCCTGGGAAGCCACTCTGGAAGGTACTCTCCCCACCCTGGACAAAAGGCGACAGCCTCAGAACAAAGCCAGTCACTCTGGGGGTTACAGGCGATGGGGAGGGAGGGCGTGTGTGCGTGTGTGTGATGCAGTCTTTGGTTTCTAGGGCATTATTACAAACACACCTGGGGCTCTCAATGACAGAAGGTGGCACAGGTCCCACTTTGAGGGGGACCTCAAATGCTGCACTTTGCCCACTGGCATCTTTAGCAACCAGCTTGAGTACAGCACACTGCCATCTCCTCAAAGAACGCCTTCTCACCGGAGCTCGGAAGAAGGACTAATGCGTCATTGTCCCAACTCACTGAAATATTGACTGGAGTAGGTCATACATTTCAATGGAGATCTTTAACTTATCGACCCTTTTGCTTTAGCCGTCCTTACACAGGACATCGAACTGTGCTGGGAAAAATTATTTTTGCATAGACCCCGAAACAACTAATCATTTTCCCTCTCTCTTCCCATCAAAGGCTGACGGAATCAAAACCGGGATGACAACGTTTCTAAAATATGCTGGAACATTCTCCGAATAACTCACTACCATGAGCTTAGCTGGGCCCAGGAGACAGTTTTACACGCTCCCGCTTTTGTCTGCGCTCTTGCCACTCCTGCCAGGGGTGAGATTAAATCGACTAGCCATTATTTCTTATCCCCTGAAAACCCTAAGTGCTTTGTGGTTGGCTCTACCCTTACTCCCTCAATTCCTTCTCTTCTTCCACACATCTTTCTTCCTTTCCATTCACACACCCAGGATCTGTCCTTTTAGGCAGTTTATAAAGAGACTTACGGGCTTACTTCAGAAGACTAAGGTCCAAGAACATTAGAAAGAATACAGAAATCAGACTAAGCACAGACATGGAAACACCCAGAGGAAAAGCCTACCGGGGAAGAGTGAACAAACAAGGCAGGTTTTACATCATCAGTGCCTTGAACTTCATTTCCAGAAGGCACAATCCTTCCCAGTTAGATGGCCGTGACCTACTCTGCTTGCAACAGAGTCAGTCTGTTCATTCTAAGACATAAATGCCAGGGGTAGCCGACATTTGCAACCCAGTTTGACTCTTTTCTGGAATTACCTACGTAGCTAGAGGATAAAGGGAGGGCAAAGCTGATCCGTCCCTTCCATCATCTCCAGAGGGATCCCCACTGTAGGAAGCGCCTGTGATGCTTTCCACCTAGAATGCCCCCTACAGGCTTATGTTTTGATCCCTGGGGTCCATAACTCATGAAGTTATTTTCAACAGTGTACAGTTTTTTTGTTTTTTTTTTTTTTTGTTTTTGTTTTTTTAAGAAATGGAGTTTTAGCTGGGCAATGGTGGTGCGCACCTTTAATCCCAGCCTCCCAGAGATGAACTTGACTTGTGTCCTCATGAGGCCAAGGGGCTGAATGCACGCTGCTTCTTGGCAGAGCAAGGCCAAAGCACTGCTTGGTTCGCAAGAGCACCACTTGGCAAACTGACTCTGCTTTCCAAAGATAAAGAAACAGAGACTTCAGGGGGCTGGAGAGATGGCTCAGTGGTTAAGACACTGACTGCTCTTCCAGAGGTCCCTGGTTCAATTCCCAGCACCCATGTGGCAGCTCACAACTATCTGTAACTCCAAGATCTGACGTCCTCACACAGAGCCTCCTCACACACACCCCTGCTCTCTCTCTGCAAAGGGCCACGCCCTTCACTGCTCTGGCATCTACAGGCTATCAGGCCACTGTGAAACACACCGGACTCATCAAGGCAACAAGGCCTAGCACCTCAGGGCGAGCCTGTGTAACAATCGCTGTGCTGCCAGTGGCTCTCTTTGACACTGAGGAGATGGGGACAGGAGGAGCTGGAGAGAGGCCTCAGTGGTTAACGGTGTGTACTGCTCTTGAGGTAGGCCCAGATTTGGTTCCCAGTGCCCACATCAGGCAGGCCCACAAATGCCTGCAAAATTCAGTTATAAGGGATCTGATACCATCTTCTAGACTCTAAATTCACTTGTACCTACACAGTGCATATAAAGTCATGCAGGCACATATATGTGCATAAAAACAAATAAATATGTAAATCTTAAAAAGAGCTAAACTTATCAAAGGGTTAGTGAAAACATTATTTAAAAGAGGGGAAGACAGAAGATATGGTACTTTCATTGCAATTTCTTCTCCTTTCCATCCACTCATGACTTAAGGGAAGACTAATTTTTCTTTTTTATCAATGAAGCGCTCAACAGGCAGGAAGCAGCGCAGGGGATGGACAAGGAAGCTGCCTTACCATAAGGATACTTCGTATCCAGCTTCTTTTCTGCCGTTCTCCTCCAAGGCAACAGGTCATCACTACAGCCATTCGGCATTCCATTGTACCCGATCCCAACAATCTTGTTTTCTGTGTTCACAATGCAGGCTCCAACCTAGAGAGGAACATTGCCCAAAGGTTTGCTAACTGTGAAGAGCTGGGTGTGCTACAGGGAGGCAGTGACTAAATCACAAGCATGGAAGGAGGGGAGCACACCCCCGACACACACACACACACACACACACACACACACACACACACTACAGCAGGTTTACTCTGCATTTTTTAAGTTACCAAGTATCCATTTTCCTAACCTGCTCTTTGGTGTACATCCTAGCAAGTACCCGAACATCTTCACACCAAACCCATTTACCTGGGAACTTGGATCCTTGCTTCTCTGGGCCGACAAGAAGGCCACCGCCATGAAATACTCAGGCCACTCCAAATAGTCATCCCGTTTTTTGCAGGAAATGTCACTCATGTTGGGTCTAACGCCGTGTGCCGCTAAACACGGAGAAGGAAAATTGTGCATCTGATTTCCAAGTAAATGCATTAGGCCTAAACACTGGGCAGCTTTGACTATACTTACTAAGCAGAAATCGCCAGTTCCTAGACTTAAGAGAAGAGGTCTTGGTCTTAAGAGGAAATTAAGAAATGTATTGTTGGAAATGTCTGGATTTGGCACTTACAGATTTCCAAATAATTCATGTGTTACCTGCTTTCCTACAGAATCTAAGTCACTATATACTGCCTACAAAGCGTCCACTTCTTTACTTCCCCCTCTTAGAAACTGGAGTCAGCATGGGAGGGAGCACAGAAACATGAACGATCTAATGGATTCCAGACACTTTGTAAATTTACATGTATCCTCACTCAAGCCTCATTTCTAGCTAAAGTAGGCAGCAGCACCGCACCTGACAGACTCAGTACTCAGGAAATTTACCCTCTTAAGCCCAGGGCTTTGAGATAGATAGAGATAGAGATGGATAGATAGATGGATGGATGGATGGATGGATAATTTGCCCTCCAAGCCCAAGTGCGCTGAAATAAATAGCTTTTGTAGCTTTTGCAATCCGGCCAGTCTGGTAACTAACCAGATGATTTGTCCCCTTCCTTCTTCGTTTCTCCAAATAAAGCGATTAATCAACTCTGAGGACTGAATCTAATGGGAGGGGGTGGGGGAAGGGGAATGAGAAAGTGCTGATACTAAAACCAGGTTCTGTAGCGCGGGCCTCAAGTCCAGGCCTAGACGGTCTCTGCAATCCGGGAGAGGCCGAGAGGGGGTGGGAAGAAGCACAGGACTTCAGCTAAGAGAGTCCTTTCCAGGGCAACACAGTCACCCCACTCACTGAGAAATCCTAACGTACGGGTTTTCCAAACTTCCCCTTCAGACTGCGGTAGGCTGCGGTGCAGAGCAGCACCTAGCAGTGAACGGGCAGGTACGCGGAAGCAGAGTTAGCCAAAGACTCTCACCCCTGCTCAACAAGGAGACGAGTGGCACTGACTGGCTTCCCGCCTGCCTTAAGGTTTGGAGGGGAAGGGAGGCCGGGAGAGAGGACACATTTCCCTACCCGGGGCAGCCCTGTGCTTGCTCTTTAAAGCTCCCTGGGGTTCCGTACCCACCCACGAGCAGCTTCGCCACGAGGAAACTGAGGCTGGGATGTCACCAGTCCAGGGAGAAACTGCTCCACCTCAGCCCGGACAGGACGCACCGTCCTGGAAACCGCCCCAGCTCGGCTGCCGGGGTTCTCAAGCCTCCATCCTCCCCACCACGTGGGCGCCGGGAGGGACTCGGGGAGGCGCCCTCCCTGCACCGCGGCGAGCCCGACTGGGCCCGGCCCGAGCCGTGGGGTCGCGCCCGCCGTCCGCTCGCTCCGCCGGGGCTGCAGAGCACGGCTCGCCCCGTCCGCCAACCCGGGCCACCCCGGCCGCCGCCGCGCGCGCGGGAAGCCGGGAGGGAGGCGGGGCCGGCGGCGGAAGGGGCGGTGGGCCCCGGCGTGGCGTGCCCCTCCACGCGGTCGCGACCCCGGGGTCCCTGCGGAACGGGGCTGCCCCGCACGCGTGGGGGCCGGCGCGGGTCCCGCTGCGGCAGCGGGGACACCAGCGTCGCGGTGACCTCTGCGGTTTGCCCGGAGGTGCTTTTTTGGCCCTGGACTCTGGAAGGGACGGTGTCTGGCCACACCCACGGGCCTGAGGGTTCTGTCTTTAGTTGTTGATGCTTCTCTCAGCCCTCTGAATCCATCACTAACTTCCCTGAGGAAGTAAATCCGGAAAGGTGACCAAAAGACCCAAATATTCCAGTGGCCGCGGGCCTGAAAGGAACAAAGAATTGAAGGGATCTGGTTCTGGCCTCTAAAATAAGCCCTGCAGGCGGTGTCCTTCTAGCCACCTCCTAGCCAGCCAGGCCTTCTCGCCTTCATACCAGAAGGGTGTGGGGTTTTCAGCTGTGCCTAGAGGCCTCTTACTTCGAAAGTTCATTTGCATTGGCTTTTTGGTTCACCAGATCTAGGGTTTCTACTCCAATCCTGTGAAAGACCCTGAGATGCGAGCCAAAGCCTTTCCCAGCCAGTCAAGGTGCATGCGTGCTCTTTTGACAGTCACCTGAAGTTCGTAGAGTCGTAGGCCCGAACTACGTCTGATTTCTTCAACATCGTTTATTGGACTACCCAGACGTTTCACCCCTAAATCTGGAGGGACTTTTGTTCTACTACAGAACAAAATGATAAGTGTCCCCGTTTGTCTTTATCCACAAGGCTTGGGGCTACTGCCCATACTCCATACCGTCGCTCCATACATAAAGGCTACTGTAATAATCATGACTTCTAATCTGCACATCCCTGATCTCAACTGCTAATCAAAACAAAAGCTTGTTAACTGTATTAATTTAGCGCCACAGAGAAAGAATGATGAGAATAAACAGTTGGTTCTACCTAATTTCTCACTAGCACGCACACACATCGTTCTTCATGTCCATGGTCCAGCCTGTAGATTCCATAATTAAATTATGTACTGCTCTTGGTGGATGCCAAGAAAGCAAAGAGGGAAAATATTTCATTGTTAACTATAGATTTTTTTTTTCCTTGATAAAACACAGGCTCCAAAGAGCCACATAGATTAACGTGATGATCTTTTATGTCAAGTTGACTTTAGTTGACTATCTTGTTGCTACTAAAATTCATTATGTCCTGAGCTAGTAGTTTCTCTCCCCACCCACTGTTTGATCTTCGTCACCCTCATCTATAGCCCTTGGGTCTTGGATTCATTTCTCTGCTTACCAACCTACAACTGATACATGGCCAGTTGCTGCTGGCCCTTCAGCCACAACATCATTAAGCTTTTTCTTTCTTCCTTGGCCGAGTAAAGACTGTCATACATAATTTAGTTACTTCTCATCATTCTCCATTTTGGTCAGCTCACACATTCCCTTCTGCAATAAATCCAGGATCCTGCCTGCTGCAAACAGATACCCTCCCTCTCCCTGTATTTCACCGAAAAAACGGTGTGTCGTTCATAATGCAGGAAACTCTGCTGATTCTTGGTTTCACGACTGGAGGCTCCAAATTTTTCTGCACCAACAGTAAAACCAGGCAGCCAAGTGAGAAAACTGCATGCCTTCCCACGTCTTGCTCATTAACACCTTGTAACTCCAAGTGTGACTGCAAGTGTTAAACCTCCACTAATACCTTTCATTTTGGCATATATTTGAGGCTCTTGCTTCACTTACGACAGAGACCGGGCTAGAGACCGGGCTCTGCTGTGCTTTCAGCCATGTCTACTTTTCACCTCCCTAGGCAAGGTGAGGGGATGTCACAGCTATGGATAGAAGCATCAACACATTCACGAGAGCTCTAGTCAAACTCTGGCCCATTCTCCCGCTTACAAAACTCCAGGTCATACATGTGTACTATATGACTTAGAAAGTATTTCAGTAGCTCAGAAGTGGGAGTGTGGACAGATTAAGAAGGCCAGTCGATCGGGAAAATTGAGTTTAAACAAACGCCATATCACTTAGTTTTTGATAATGTAGGACATGACTAAAAATAAGGAAATGATATCCTTAAATATTTATAATTTCTAGTATTTCTCTTCAAGATCGTTTTGGAGGCAATACAGTCACTTGAAATGTCCAGTGTCATTTCAGAATAAAAAGCTAGTGTCTTTAAAATCTCAAGAGTGCTTGCTTACAGATGTAAGTGAAGATACTGTGTGGGATGATCCTTCTAGAGGAGTAGCTGATTTTTCCTTTCAATTTGATTTTAGAAATCTAGGCCTTGCTTATAGAAAACAAAGGATGGTTTATAAGAATTGTTTGTGGAATGTGTTTGGAGGATTAATTCTAGAACCTTTGTATATTTAATAGTATTTCTAACTTTTGTTTCTTTACTGTTTGCAGTTAATGTTCTTGTTCTGCTAGGCAATCATTTATATGCACGTTTCTTTAATTTTTTTTTAGATTTTCCTGGATGTATAGTTTAAACAACAAAAAGTCTATTTAAAACTGTAGCAGTAGTTTGCAGGTCTAGCAAAGAGGAAAGTTGTGGGGTTAAACTTCGTATTTTCTTTCTTATAGAAGCTTCTAAAAAGGTATTTTTATATGTTCTTTTTAACAAATATTGTGTGCAACCTTTAAAACATCAATGTTTGGATCAAAACAAGACACAGCCTATTTTCTGCTTGCTGTAAATTAAGCAAACATGCTATAATAAAAACAAAATGAAGGGAAAAAAAAAGGCCAGTCAGGGTGAAACTCTTCTCAGGCTATCCTAGAAGGGATCTTGATGGCATTCACAGATAATTGCCCTAACAAGATCTCACCTAATAATTCCCTCACCTCTTTTGTTTGCCAAGAAGGAAAAGTCTTTTTAACCAACGAAACGAAACAGAGTGTATTATTAGTCAGAGTTCTCTAGAGTCACAGAATTTATGGAATAAATATCTTTGTCTCATCTATGTATCCATACATATACATATCTGTTTCATATATATGTGGAAACGTGTTGGAATGACTTACAGGCTGTAGTCCAGCTAATCCAACAATGGCTAAACTGTGAACAGAAAGTCCCAAGAGTCTAGTAGTTGCTCAGTCCCACAAGGTTGGTTATCTCAGCTGGCCTTCTGTATATGCTGGAATCCCAAAGAAGGAGGCTTCAGTGCCAGGGATAAATGAATGTGCTGGCAAGGCGAGGGCAAGGCAACGAGCAAACCTTCCGTGTTCTGCGTCCTGATGTAGGCTTGCAGCAGAAGGTGCGGCCCAGATTCAAGGTGCGTCTTCCCATCTCAAGGTCCGGATCAGAGGAGTGTCTTCCTACCTCAACAGTCCAGACTTCAAACCAAGTAGAAAAGATGTGCCCTTCGTGTCTGAACTGTAGTTCATTCCAGATAGAGTCGAGTCAATAGCGTCACACCGAGAGTTTGAAAAGTAGTTAATGTGTGCAGGGTTTGTTATAGAGGAAGGACGCAGGGTTTTAGTCGGGACAGACTATGAATTACTTGATAGTGCCCTCGTGACCTTCAAACACAATGCTTACTTGAGGCATCTGTTAAATTAACAATTTGTATTTAATGGTCTTTTAAAAATAATTTTGTGCTGTATACTGCTACTGCAAAAATCACAAGAAACAAACCAGTTCTTGTTCTTGTCCAGTAAATGAAGAGTAAATGAAACTTACTGCTGGCCCACTTAACATACAAATGCTGTTTCTAAGTGTCCTATTGACACACCCTTGTTTTTACTTGAATCTGTCAGTCTATCTACCTACCTATCTGTCTATCTATCTATCCATCCATCTATCATCTATCTATCCATCCAACCATCTCTCTATTTATTTAGAGAAAGGGTCTTGAGTATCCAGGCTGGCCTGTCATTCCCTATGGAGTTGAGATGACTTTGAACTTCTGATCTTCCTGCCTCTACCTAGTGCTGGGAGTCCAGGTGTGTGATCACGTCAGCACTCCACCAAATGAACTGCACTCTCAGTTCCACAGTTGTTTCTTTTTATAACCCAAGAGTGTGGATAAAAATTCCAGTGTTACAGGATTACCTATTTTATGTTTTCATGCTGAACTCTAAACTAGAACAGCTTATTAAACCTCAGATAATGGAAGACTGTATTATCTCCCATATGACAGAAAGGTTAATGGTAATATAGGAAAAAACAGCACATGATCCCATAAATATATATGTGTGTGTGTTTGTGTGTGTGTGTGTGTGTGTGTGTGTATACACATATATTGTGTGTGTTTTCAAGCACGAGGTCTGTTGTATGTATATGTTCAATGAGAGGTATACAAAATACAGACTGGCACAACAGAATAGTTCCGTCAGAAATAAAAATCAGGACTCCTAAATAGAATTTTTCGTTATGAGTTCAAAGCTTACCAATTTCCTTTATTATTTCATGATTATAGTGAAGGCCAGTAGAAAAAGGTTAACTTGGCATATGCAGGTGCTTTGCTCTTGATATGTATTATATATAATATACATATATAATAAGTTGTATGCATGAGGGGTGATGTATCCCAGTGAGGTCTCTAGTGAGTTAAGGAAAGGCACAATGTGACAAAAGGCCACACCAGCCATTAACTTCTAAATAAAATTTAACAGGGGCTTTTAATTACAAAAATTTAGGCATTTACCTAATTTTGTGTGTGTGTGTGTGTGTGTGTGTGTGTGTGTGTGTATCAGTAAATACATTGATCATTAAATACTGGCTGACTGAATAAACCACTAGAAAACGACCGCTTTATGCTAAATCATTTACAGTTGCCAACACATAAAGGAAAACTTTGTGAGCTTTAGTTATTCCCCTCTCTCTGCCTCCTTTGGGACTGGTTGGTCAAGCAACAAAGGGGAAACAATTGTTTTCGAGACACTGTGAGGTTTTGCTCTTGGCCCCCAAACTGGTGGTTGGCAGCCCCAGAACTGAAGGCAGCGGTGACAGTGA